ACCTTCGATCCTCCAACAATGGCAGCAAATGGCTTCTTGGGATTGGATACAGCTCCAACTAGGTAGTCAAGCTCCTGAAAACACAAACTTATGTAAATAGATTGCCAAAAACTATAAAAGTTGACTGCGTTTGATGAAGATTAAGAAATGAGTCAATGACAAACCTTTTGCATGAGGAATCCAGCAACAGAAGGCTTCAAGTACTTTGTAACACCTTCAGTAGATGCATGTGCTCTATGTGCAGTGCCAAATGCATCATTAACATACAAGTCTGCTAGTGATGCAAGCTTCTTTGCGAATTCAGGATCGTTCTTTTCTTCCTCTTTATAGAATCTGACATTTTCAAGAAGCAAAACACCCCTCTCTGGGAGCTCAGCCACCAGTTTCTCAACTTCTGGACCTATGCAATCACTTGCCATCTTGACCTGTTACAAGGTGCAAAGAGAGCATTTCAGAAAAGAGTTGAATTAGTTGATGAGAGGTGTTGTATAAATGAAGATGCATGGAGAAACTAACCTCGACTTCAAGGAGCTCAGAGAGTCTAGGCACAAGTGGCTTCAGGCTGTATTTTGGTGTAACACCCTTAGGACGTCCCTGTAAATACGTTCACAACAAACAAAAGAACAAAAAGCATTAGACCCCCCTTACAAACAGTTCAAACCCTGAGAGGTAGCTATTGGTTAATTAAGCTTATGAGGTCCCAAATCTGAATCTTCCTTCTTAGGCACCCCTTAGATCAACTAAAAGAAAGTGATTAGCATCTTTATTGCGATCAAAGAATGAGCAAAACGGATTCAAAAACCACATCTTAGTCACGTAATTGTATACGCGAGATTTAACTGCTATGGATGAAGATTACAGAAGAAACTTATTCATATACATGTGATTTAACACGTATATCAGAAACAAACATACGACCCAAATCAAATGAGGAACAGAACACATACCAGGTGAGAAGAGAGGATGATTCTGGCGCCATTAGACATCAAATATTTGATAGTAGGGACGGCGGCGCGGATACGTGTGTCATCGGTGATCTTAAAGCTGTCATCCAAGGGCACATTAAGATCAGCCCTAACAAACACCTTCTTCCCCTTCAGATCTCCTTCCTTCAAACTGCTTACGCTCTTCTTTGTCGCCATTTCTCACAAACAAAAACGATTACTTAGATCTTAGCTTCCCTGTCAAAATCCCCAAAAAAATTAATCAAAACACATATTACGATCAGAAACAAAAACAATTCAAATCATTGATAATTTGATATGCATCATGGATTGAGAAAGATCTGAAGAATCGATTGATCAGATTAGATCACACTTACGATGATTTTGAGGTTGTGAGATCGAGAGAAAAGAATCAAGTGGATCGATGCTTTTTTTATGCTTTTATGAGCGACCGTGTTCTTCTTTTATGGTATTCTTTTCTAGAATGTGTATGGACCACAAGGAAAAAAAAAGGCCGGTTTGGGCGTCACGGGTTGAAATACTTGAGCTTTCATGGGGTGGGCCGAAACATGCCATGTTGAGTTGACCACTTGGCCGGGTATTATTTTTTGTTTATGTTTTTACAAGTATGTTTCATCAAATGTAACTATTATAATTCGTGTGATGCTAATATTATTTTTGTAATACGTTGACATGATATGTACTAGGAAAAGGCCCGTGCGTTGCACGGGTCATTCTTTATGGAAATAATAAAGGACATAAGAATATGATAGGCGAAAATGACAAGGAATAAAGGAAAATATGTTGAATTTAGCAACTTTTTAGAAACATGTGGCGGAAGTCTGAATGTCAAAAAGTTCGGGTCGATAATAGATGGAAAAAAATATCAAAATAGAAGAATGTTGGAAAATGGGAGACTAAACTGTAAATTGATTAAAGAAACGAAGCATTTTTGGGAAAATGTAAAAAACATATAATAAAAGTCACAAATAAATTTTTTTAGAAAAAAAATAAAAGGCAGAAGAATATGGCAGACGAAAATGAAAAAAAAGTAAAGAAAATGAGTTGAATTTAACAACTTTTTAGAAAACATGTGGTGAAAGTCTGAATTTTAAAAAGTTTTAAGCACTTTTGAGAAAAAATAAAAAACATGGGAGTAAAGTTAAAAATGAAGAAGGTTATTGTTCAAACATTGTAAATTGTCAAAGTTTAGTTGTAGTAATATAAAGAATCAGTGCAAAGAAATAAAAATAAAAATTTAGTAGCAAAAATGTAA